AGAAAACCATTTAGCAGTTTTAATTTCCATTTTCGTAAATAGCATTCAAAACTCTATCGATTTATCTGGGTCTCCATTCAAAGTCCCACGGTAAGTAGACTACCCCTCCCTGGTTAGGACCATGTCCATCATCCTTTAGAAGACTGCTGGGCTCGTTGATAGACCAAAAGAAAATACCGTGAACTGAAACAACCCTTCAGTTGTTGTGACCGCGCTTTTCCTTTTTGCATCATCGGAGAGGCGAATTTGCCAATAGCCAGAGGCGAGGTCGAAAAGAATTTCTTCCCGGCAAGACACTGCAGGACGTTGTCAATCTTCGGCAGAGGGTAGGAATCTTGCCGGATGAGCTTGTTCAGCTCTCTATAGTTGATAAGACTCCCAGGGTACCGTCTTTCTTTCTTACCAAAACCACAGGAGACGCTAACTCTGAATAACTCCTTTCGACTATACGACGTCCTAGCAGATCTTTGATGGTTTCTCTGAATTCCTTACGTGCGGCAATGGGAACCGGCCTTGTTTTTTGTCTAATCGGCTTATGATCCCCTGTATCAATCTCGTGGACCACCAGATCAGTTTGCGTCAATTCTGCGTCGGAGAGAGCAAACACATCGTTGAATTCCTTCAACATAATCGCTGCTTCACTAAGTAGCTGATTTTGTTGGCAAGTAAACCTGAATAACATATCGTTCCGACTTTCCTTAGGGCGACAAATTTCCGATCTATCGAGATCCAGCATATTCCTGTCCGGCTCGATATACCTTGGCTTACCCCAAGCACTGTCGTCCCACTCTCCCATCACTTCTCCTTTCTTGAACACTAAACCTTCGTCTGAATTAACGACACGTATGCCGACTTCATTGCACTCTGTTGGACAACAGACAATCCGGTATGGGTGGGTGGCGAGAACATAGGATCGGCGAATCAACTGCACTAACCCTTGTACATGTCAACGTTAAGGTGCGGACCGCCCTGGCTGGGATATAAGTCCTGTTTTTGACTTCCTCAGCGATACGTGTAGTTTTTTTAGTGGCCATCTGCTCCCTTTCCACCTCAGGGTTCCTTCAGCAGTCTTAAGTTGAATAATTCCAGAGCATTGGTGCTCAAAATCACTAGGTCGTCCGGGCTTCTTCCGACATAGGCTGACACCAATTCCTCTTGACCTTCCAAAGTTATTGCTATCCCGATAGTATCTAGGAATTCCATTATGTTCCCGGAAGCGTCTCGCACCTTGGTATTTGGGCCCGGTATGCGCTCAATATATTTATCCAAATCCATATTCCTATCTATTGCCCTCTTCATGGAATAATGGTTGTTTTCGAACCGGTATCCAAAAGTGCTGTTGCTTCGATACCACATAGCGTTATCCCGGCAAGGGGCTTTTCTCCAAACAGCTCACATGTTTTCGACGTAGGCTCCCGGTACAATGTGCATACCCACTTTTCTACCAGCGAAGCGTAGGCTACATCCGGTCTCCGCTGCGCATTTACCCTTGATGGGGTCCTCTGCTGCGGGTCAGGTCCACTACGGCAATCTTTAGCCAAATGCCCCATGTTACCGCAGTTATAGCACCTTGGAAAATCTCGCCCTCGGTTTTTCTTGTGACCGTTGATGCTTTTCGACTGTCCTTCGCCTTCTGTCAAGGGTTTCGCTACCCTTTCCGAGCCGTTTGAGCCGCTATCTAGGCTGTTTCCGCCAAATACTTCTCTTCTTCGTTCAAGGGCACGGTGCCTATACTCAACTCGACCCTGCCTTTATTCCGTAATCCGCACTCCTCAGCTGTCTTCAGGTTCCTTTCTAGTCTAAGGGCTGCTTCCTTCACTTTTCCGTATGCTTCTTCACACTTACTATTCTCTTATGCTTCTGTAAGGCAGTAACTCCCATTCCAACTAGCTAATCGTAATAGTCGTGTTCATTAGGTAATGTCCACTGGGCAATTTCGAAAAATGGAAATCGGAGGAAAGTATCAATTGCCAAAAGTAGTCCATTCCAATAAGAATTCCTGTGCATCCATGTTTTTTGGATATTGAAGAGCTGTGGTGATTCTTGTTCGGTAGAGACTGGAGGTCATGGACAAGGGTGGGGAATGTTTGAGGAAAGAAAGCACTTGTGCTTTCATAGGGTACAAGGAGTCGTTTGGTAGTAGGATGCTGATATTGTACTGCTTTGATGATACTGGCTGTGCCTCTTTATTTTCGAATGTGTGGAGCGTAATGTCCTTTTCCTTAATTTGGCTTAGTTCCATCTTCTCTGCAAACTCTGTTGTGATATATGAATGGGTCGAACCGCTGTAAAGAATGGTCAGAGTTTTTTTCTGTTTTGCTGTTGTCATCTGGATTGACTAGTGAGACTTTCGTACACATTAACAGGACTTCTTCGTTGTTATTCCGTTCGTTGTCCACTGCTGCAACTGTTGTTGGATTGTTCGCGGTGTAACAGAGGCTACGTTTCAAATTTGGTTCTCCCTCCTCTTCGTTTCCGCTTTTAGTGACGTTCACTACCACATCCTTTGAGAATGAGAAGTTCGCCATATTAATTGGGAAGCAAGCTTGCTTGAATTTCCTATCATCTGGAAATCGGTTGCAGTTTACATCCCTTGTTCCTCTCGGCGAATTGGTTGGATCTTTTGGAAATGCAGTGTTGTTCTCGGTGAAGTTATTGGCACCTCTTTCTGATGAGGTTTTGTTTGGCAATGGTTTGGAATGATAACAAAGGGAGGGATGATGATTATGGTTACAGATGTTGCACGGCGGTCGGTTGCACCATTTTGGTTTGTGATTCGGTTGTAGATATTTGAAACACAAGTCACTCTGTTCGGTGCGGTCGCGTCTTTCGCCTGGGGTGTTGTGATCGCGACATTGGAATGCATTGTGATTAGTCCTGAAGCAGAAGGGGCAAGATGTTTGGCGTACATTTGTGGGAGATGTGGGCTTTTTGATCCAATGCGTTTCTCCGGCTGTTGAAGCTCGAAAGTTGGAGTTACTTGGGTAGTGGGATTTGGTGGGATGGCCGACCTGTCCTAATATGACTTCTTTCCTTACCACGTCCGGGAGTAGGTCTATTAGTTGGTTCGGAATAAGGCTCATCTGTCCTCCTGTTGTGTCGTATATCTTGGATTGAACGAATCGCGGCAGTTTATTGTATAGTAGTGCTCCAAGTCCGTATTCCGGTGTGTCTGGGGTGATAGAGGTGTACTGTCTGACAAAACGGAGCATTTTTAGGTGGATCTCCTGAAGTCGTTTCCCTTCCTGGTCGCACTTTGGGAGACTGGCAAGTTCGGCGTAAATCATGTGCCGTACGGCTGAGGGGGTTGTTGTGCACTTGATGTAGAACGTCCACGGCTTTACCATAATTTTCATCGGTCACAGGGATATCTTCAATGGACTGCAAGGCTTGTCCTTGCAAACAACTTTTATGCAATGAAAATTTCGTTGCGTTTGTAAGGTCTGTTTTTGAGTGAACGATAGCTTGGTATCGGTACCAAAACGTGGGGAAATCGAGGAGACTACCGGAAAAAAAGCTAGGCATCTCTAGCCTCGATAGCAGGGCAGTATTCAAATAGTTCATCGTTAGGGCCCCTTCGATCCTTTTTTGTGTGCTGGAGGAATCGTAAATATTATTATGATCGTAATGCTCACGTCTTCTAAATCAGGATTCTGTGTTTTGGACTGTCGAATATCATCGTCTTGGATAGTATGATCTGTATCTTCTTCATACTGCAGCTTCTTTTCGGGTGCCGTGGTCGCCATGTTGTGAAGAAACAGTCGTCGATTCAGGGGAGTCGTTTATTCATGTGGAGAACACACAAGAAGTTGATCAATTGAACCTCACTCTATGGGTGGGGCTTATATACTATACATACTTATAATGATACTCTATGAAAGAGCGCGAAAACAGCTTCTTCTACTTCGAATTTTTATGAATTTTCGCCCAAACATTTATTTCGCGCAAACTCAGCCTCCTGTGGGCGTAGTCGGGTCCTGCTACCCATGATTAGTGGACCCTATTGCCTCTTGTGCTTCTAACAAATTTGAACGCCCCAGGGCGAAATGGTCAATTTTGGTAGCAAACCCGACCCCTGTGGGCGGGGTCCGGCCTTTTCACTCACCATAATTATCATCCCGTTCCTGTTCTGTTTACTAATTTGAACTTTCTAGGTCCACAGGACTGGACCCCGCCCACTGTGGGAGGTACCACCATAAGTGTTTTCATCCTGCCGCCTGTACTCATTCCAAATTTGAACGCTCTAGGTACACAGGAACAGGAGTTATGAATTTTCGCCAAAACATTTTTTTAGCACGAAACCCGCTCCCTGCTGGCGAATTGCGGTCCTGCCACCTAACATAAGTGTTCCCATCCTGCCTCCAGTACTCCTACCAAATTTGAACGCTCCAAGTCCACAGGGGCAGGAGTTATGATTTTTCGCGAGGACCCCGCCTATCGTGGGCGGAGTCCGGTCTCGCTACTCACCACGTTCCACGATGACAGGAGTTATGAATTTCCGGTCGGATACACACACATACACAAACAACTAAACACAGACATTAACGCGTTATATGTAGTAGGGTTGTTTCGCACCTATGTTGAGAAGTTTTGAATAAAAGAAATTCATTAAGTTCCGAAAAAGTTGAAATGTTATCATTGCCCATCGGTGAAGGTAAGGATAAGGATAGTCTTTGGGCGATGATCGGCCGCAGAAGGATGCCCCCCGCAGTCGACTTCCATAGTGGTATTGAGTGCAGTTATCCTTCTAGGCATGCCTGTACCAATTGACCGACCCCGGAGAGATGGAAAACTTGGTAGGCCTAGGCGGCGGCTGATCCTCGGTTCGAACCCGTGACCATGCGTTTATGAAAAGCGTCACTCGCTATTGCCTACCTCCGCCCCGCAGTTGAAGATATAATAGTCAAATGTACATCTTACTTCCTCTCTTGGGGTAAGCAAGCATCTCCAATATGGACCCCCGCTAGCGTTAAAATCATTGGAGCAGTTTTTGGAATTCCAATTAACACTTCTAATTTAATCCAGTTCATAAACCTCCTTCCCCAGTTTTGTTTTATATCTTTACGTAGGAATAGGACCGAAGTCGTAGATCTCCACAGCCGAGTGTCTGGTCAAAGAAGATAGCCTCACCACAATATCGGGACAGGATGCTATTAAGAAATGCTGAATACAAATGGGGAAATGGGAAGCTCAAAAGTTTAACAAGAAAAGTTCATCGAGAAGCAGAAACCAAAAGTCTGAAATGGTACCATGCTGTGGTAATAAATACCTCTCAAGATTTTGTCGATCTCCTGCACAGCAGAAGTACTTTGAGATTTTTAAACATTTTTATACGCATGATTACCTGGCATTTTTCTGATCATTATTTCTGATTTCAGTATTTCCCGTTTTCATTCAAGGGTGAACGTATGATTTTGTCAAGAGTAGAAAATGCCAAGCCGGACCATATGTCTGCTCTGGATGTGAATGGGTTGAAAAGTTAATGTGTATTTTAAAAATGTTCATCTCTCTATATATAAAGCGGTATCTTTGTGTGTCTGTTTGTATGCCCGTTTTTGCGTCCTTCCAAAAGTCACGCAGGCACGATGAAGAGTGTGAAGGCCGCGTGAACGCGATGAGGAAGTAGTCGTGAAATGGGAAATCAACCGATACTGTTTATATGGGTCCTCTAACAAGTCGTGGATAAGCAGTAGTGGGCATGTGGTGCACGCTTTAGCGCGCGTAGGCCAGCTGATCATCGATATAATTTGCATAAAGGGATTGATGGAACTGATAACTTTCAAGTCTCTTCACAATTTCCTTGCTCCCTACTCTATTAATTATGATCACTGAGATGTTCAACAACCCTTGAGTCCTCACTTTCACTCTCGTCGCCTTGCACCTGGGTGCAAAGCAATTATATTTACCCGATAGCTAATTATAGTTAATCGAGAGGCTGAAGGATTTGGACCGGTATATTTATATGTGAGGTATAGTGTTGATTCGATCTATTAAAGTGTACTGAGCGCGATGTCTACAGTGCAATTTCTTTCTTCAATCCCAGATTAAAGCCTCCGAAGGCGGTGGTGGAAAAGGAATAAGGAAATGCAAGAACGAGGCGGATTTCAAAGAGAATTTCGTTCAAGTGCAAACCGAAGTACCTGGTTCTCCAATATTCATCATGAAATGCGTCGAAAATGCTAGACATATTGAAGTGCAACTAATAGCCGACAGGTACTTGCATAATGTGTTTTTAGATTCAGCGATCAAAGCACTGTAATATTTATTTTTCAAGGAAACATTTCAACAATATCCTTTTAAGGTATGAAAATGTAATTCCGGTGTTCACTCGTGACTGTTCTATTCAGCGAAGATGTCAAAAAATTATAGAAGAAGCTCCAGCCAGTATTGCTCCGAAAAAAACACTTAGGAAAATGCAGGAAGTAATATTATTTCTTAAAAGATGTTTTTATTATTGGGTATTAATGCTTTATTCTTCATACTTACATATACTTATTGCTAGAACTTTGAATTCCTCTTCCTCATGTTTCTGTATACGTTTTCACTGCCATGGCTTGCAGGATGCGGTGAAAATAGCGAAGTTAGTCGGCTATGAATCAGCTGGCACTGTGGAATACATGTACCTCCCCGAGGAAGACAAATACTTCTTTCTTGAACTCAATCCGAGGCTTCAGGTTTGTACCATCATAGGGTCTCGTCGACCTTTCATTACCTTCGTATAGTGGCACCTTTTGGCTTGAAAAAAATTGTACACGTACATGTTGAAGGGTCTGGATAGTGGAGATAACTAAGATTTTTAGTGGTGACGTAGTGGCAATGCTGAATATTGATATGTTTGAAAATCCTAAAGATGAATATTTCGTGAAATATCGTAATCCTATCGTGATACCGGATCCATGATTTATCGACACGCACCCTTGCAGCTTCGGCACACACGTATACACTTCTCTGAGCATCATCAATGTTATTGTCTTCGTTGTGTCGCCTTGAGTACTGAACGCATATTGAGAAAACGAGAACGCTAGCAAAGTTGTATGTGGAGGTATAAGAAATATGGCCAACTAGCCATCTAGCCCACAGTTTCCCAGAAGTAGTTCAGGCATGGCACTGGCGGCGAGGCTCAAAAAGAATGGTGGTTACATTTTGTCAAACGACAATCGTATTCTAACTAAATAGATTTAGGTGGAACATCCGTGCACAGAAATGCTGGCTAGCATCAACATTCCGGCCATTCAAATGCAAATCGCAATGGGCCTCCCACTGAATAGGATTACTGATATTCGACTGTTTTATGGTATATGCATGCCCCACCTAACCAGGCCTTTATATAAAATAAATGCTTTCAAGGACTTGATAGATACGGCACCACTCCACTGCCGGACGAGATTGTTCTGACGGATACTGAGTACAGTGTCATCGCTGCCAGAATAACTTCCGAGGTATTTCTACAAAAAAGTCGTTTTCAACAGGTGTTATGTGGATCCATCACAGATATGAAAATACACCCGTCGTTGATGTTTGAAATCTGAACAGTTTAAGGCTCAACTAGGTCTGCCAAACAGTGGCTATCTAGCATCCCCACTATTGAAATCGGTTCGGTCTCGCTCGTGTTTCGCGAGATAATATGATTCCAGTTGCGGAAGTGTATTCAAAATGCCTTATCATTCCAATAGCATAGATGTTTGCGCAGGATCCTATTGGAAGAGGCAATTCTGAAACGATTATCGGAACTTTTTCTCTATACATTGTCATTCTTCGTTTTTTTATGATTGTCGTCAATTCATCGGTTCTATTCCACTGCTTTACTGTTAATCTTAAAACTTACAAACTCTGTTTTGTATATTAGAAACACCAAGTTGTAAGGATATTTTGGAATGAACAGTGTGGGTCGTAATTATGATGACACAGATGTCACATTACCGAAAACGACTAGAAAGCTGATAAAACCAAACAATTTCAAAAGAGTGTTCATCACTAATCTCTTATCAAAATGGTACATTGAAAATGAGATCCGTTGCTTTCGGCTTTCTCTCAAGGCCGAGATAACGATAGAAGGCGTCGAGGAGCAAGGATCAACAAGCTAATCCCGGCTTTTTGCGAAGCACTTTAAAGATTATTTCAGTTCTTATATAAGCTGATGCATGCTTTTACTTACAAGTTGGACCTCAGTGAGACATTCATGGGATTCAGATCAGGATTCTTAAGTGGCCACTGTTCAGAGGTTATGAAGTCAGGGAACTCCTTTTACGAAATTTCTGGACAATCTCTGGTCAAGAATTCCGTAAAAGGTCGGGAGTTCCATCTCGACAGTGTCCGGTTCGAATCGCGAAATTGTCTAATTGCGCACGGCAAGACCAAACGGGTCCCCAAAGTAAATTTGAAACCTTAATTTACAAAAATATTCGGTATCTTCGGCAGGGCGGGGATGTTCGCAAAGACCATCACAGAAAGTTAGTGAACCTAGCGCTGTAACACTTTCATTCCTTTCAGCTTCGCATGAGTCCTGCCGCTCTGCTTATTGAGCACCTTTTCACCGTGAATATCTTTTCGTCGGTGAACAGGAATTCCTTATGACGATTTCTTCGGAAACGGCGTGGCAACTGTTATGAGCGGACTTTTCTCTTCCCTTTAGCCTGCTAACTCGGAGAATCACTTCCTGATAGCGAAAAGACCTCGTGGGGATGATGTTTTACGATTATGCGCAGAAAACTTTATGAGTTATTTATTTCTTTTGCTTTCATGCGCAGAGTGAACTTCATGCTGCGCAGACCTTGGCCCTGCTTCCTTACCACTCCCCCTAAATGACGACAGGCCTTTTGGGTTTACCCGTCCGATCCGCAATTTATCCCTTCTATCGAAAGCGTCTTATGATTGAATATACCAGCTGCCTTGTTATAATGAGTGTCTGTAGATGTCCCGTGCCGAAAGTGCTTGTAAATGCTAAACGACGACTGATTCACGGGGTAGTTCTCCTTCCATTGTTTATATAACCTACCAAAAGTTCAGTATCACTAGGAAGGAAATGTAAACTACCTTGTGAAGTGGAGCAAACAAAATGAAATGTTACAAACCCAAAAAAAATTTTATATGAGCTTCAGCGCGCGCTGTCATGATCATTTTGGGCCACTTTGTAAAATATCCCTGTAACTCGCAGCAAACAACATTTTGCAAAGTATTTGATCCTATCTGACTTATGTCCTTTGTTTACCGTCGACATTTATATTCCTGAGAACGACCTCAAAGTCACTGAAGAAGGGGGCAAATCTAAATTTCGTTCACTCATATTACTTACAAGTTTGTTTTTGTATAGAGCACTCACATTGGGAACCTACCACTCGAATTTGTAGGACGAGGGTATTATACAAGTAGACCCACTAGATTCACAGTGTTTCAGTAACAACCTGAAACCAACTTTCTTTTCGTTAAATATTCTATTGTCTTAAATTCTGTGGAACAGTGATTGATTCCTACGTGGAATCCCAATAATACCCCATGCCAGAAAATGCTTGCTTTGAAGGGCTGATGTGACTTTTTATGTACAGGGTGCGTCATAATTATGGCGACAGCACATGCGCGCACTTTTTGGACTGCTTTTCAAAATCACAATTCAATCACTAAAATCTCCCCCTATTTTAATGTTGAGCTTACTATACCCAAACTATTTCACCGCTCAAATTTATTACAGCAACAATGGTTAAGCCATCCTCCTACCTCTCTGCTATCATCAAATTTCATCTCTAAGGAGTTTCGGCACGCGAAATCCACCAGCGTCTTGGTGTACATCGCGGTCTAATCCACAGGACCATTAAACGCTACAGGGAGCTAGGAACTGAAAATGATCGACCCGGAAGAGGAAGGCGTGCCACCGTCGCTACCACGGGTAATATAAGGATGGTAAGTGAGAGGATTCGAAGACAGCCATCGCAGTCGGCTCGCAGGATGTCGCGAGAAATGGACATTATTTAAAGGATATACTGCTCCCTGGGCTAATTCTCACTTTGGAAACCGCTTCTGGACCTTCCTGCAGGATGGAGCTCCGCTCACAGGTCGACTACCGTGCAACAGTGGTGCAAGGAAAACTTCCCCGACGTAATCGCCTTTAGCGAGTGGCCGGCTTGCTCTCCGAACCTAAATCTAATGAATTACAATGTGTGAGCCGTTCTGGAGGCAGAGGCTTGCTCGAAACCTCATCGCTCTGTGGATTCGCTGAAAAGAGCTCTTGAAAAGACGCGGAACAAGCTCAGCGTGCGATACTTGCGTGCCACCGTCGATGTTTTCCCCGAACTTCTCAGCTCATACGTCGAGACCAACGGAGGAATTTTCGAGACCTATTGAATGTTTTTAATTCTGAGGTGAACAATGAACGCTGTTGCATTGGAAGTTTGCTAAAATTGTAAACGAGTCGTTCGAGACGATTCAAATACCTTGTCGCTATAATTTTGACGCACCCTGTAATTCATTGCCTGCCATCAGAGTCACTCAGGGCGTTGCTGCCAAGTCAAGCTTAGCGCGCATACTGTAAACCAGGCGGCTACGCACGCTATCGCGTGCGCTGGGGGCTCTAGCCATAAGGGACGGAGCCACATGAGCTTCTGATATTCATTATAGACCTTTATCATCTGAGCCTATTCACTGACACTTCTGTAGCGGCCATCATTTTTTTTGTCTCATGGGCAAGGAGTTTTTTTGCTAGATCACGAAATTCGGACTGACCGGCAAGCAGTTCAAGAAGGGTGTATGATGTGTAATAGAGAAGTTTTCCCAGCTCGGCTGGAGTATTAGCATGGTGTACATAATATCAAAGCAACACTTCTGTATACACAATATACCGGCTCCCGCCTGCACCACCCTTCAAACTTGAGCGTTCTATGTCCGTGGGGACAGGAGCTATGAATTTTCACTCAAACCCCGCCCACTGTCCCCCTGTGGGCGGAGTCCGTTCCTGCCGCCCAGCATAAGATTTCCCATCATGCCGCCTGTACTCCTACCAAATTTGAACTCTCTAGGTCCATGGGAACCGGAGTTATGAATTTTCGCATATAAATGTATGGAGGATGTGAGCTTCAAGGCACGCTCCGCCCATTGTGGTCGGGCCTCCGCTGACGTCATTTGTGCTGGAGACACCTCCGCCACGCCCATCGGGGGCGGGTCTCCCAGTAGGATATAACCTACCAATACAGACTTCTAGCCACCTTTACATCCCAGTTTTGAAGCCGTCTTGTGACTGAATTTGACATCATGGTCCTCAGTACAGCTCATTTGGATGCACGCCACGCCCACTGTGGGCGGGGCTCTGCCAAGCTGATGTGTGCTTTATACTTCTCGGAAAAAGGTCCACCCATCCCACGCTTGACCCGGTCTCTCCAGGCACATCTAAAGGAGTTAAGGAATTTCGTGACAGACATACAGTGAGACAGACGACTAAGTAGGATACTATAAATTTCACCCGTTGAACGTAGGAGTGTTCAAACTGTCAAATTGGCGTGGTGATTTTTTATACGGTACTTCATGGAAAATCGACCGTTAATACTGCAGAAGTTATGCTCCCAAGCAAGTAACCGTCATTCCTTTTCATTTTCAACAGATTAGCATCGAAGCATCGAAATACAGTAGAGCGTTTTTGAAGCTGAGTTGTTAGTCATTCAGTCAGTCTCACTCCTCACAGGAATTTCAAGCAGCGAATAACTTGAATTCGGCTGGACGCCAAGCTGAGCATAGCAGAAAAGCCTTATAGGGTTTATAGTGAATGGAAGTGGTAGCAACAGGTAAGAGCTGATGAGTCGATAGGAAGAAGGAGTAGAAAGGAGTACAAGAAAGATGTATGCAGATTCCTCACATCTTTCTTCCCAGAAAGAAATCAGCTTGACTGTCATTGCCAGACGATATAAAACCCGCCAGAAATGACTATCTAGCTGCCCGAAAAGAAATATCGTAGAGAGACTGGCGTAATTTGGGCGGTCCCATTAGTATACATTGCAATAGAATAATCGCAAAACTGAGAAACTGAGCTTCTTGTCTTCTCATAGAACTTGAATTTGCATTGAAATTCGTTATAAAAAACGCTCCGATATTCAGATTGGTATCGCCTACTCCTGAGCCACATAGTAGTGATTGCCAATCATGAAGGTAGCGCGTTAAAGGCTTCATCGAATTGTCGTACTTACACAGAAATTATATATGTTATTCCGATAGCTTTTCGTGAAGCACTGCTGAAAGGAGCCAGTTCTTGCTTTTAACCATCAAGATTACTTGTGAGATCCACTTGTTCTTGTGAACTAGCACATTAGACTGAATGTGGTGACGTGTTTTTGCCAGAACACCTCTATCTACTTAGAAACTACTCCATATTTGCGTTTCGCTCACACACCTTATTGTTTGTACAATATGTCCTTTAAAATATGATCATTTTTTTCTCAGGAACAACATCCATCAATTTCTTCGTATATTGGCTCATTCAGGACCCTGAGGATTTTTTCCGACCGTCTACCGGATCGGTAGAGGTGCTGAATTTCCGGTCCGCTCAAAACGTTTGGGGTTACTTCTCGGTATCGAGCGCTGGCAAGGTCCATGAATTTGCGGATTCACAGTTTGGTCACCTGTTTGCTCGCGGACGTACGCGGTTAGCATTGTGCTTTTCTGTTGGGTGTTGTTGATTTATACTCTACACTGGCTTGCGATTCGTTTTATTTCACTTTCGCTCTGCAGTCATGAAGCTGTCTCCGTAATGTTGTGCGCCTTACAAGAGCTGGAGTTGCGCGCCTCGTTCGCTTCGCAGGTGTCCTACCTTGTTGACATGCTGAAAGAACCAGATTTCACAGAGAATCGATTCAATACTCAGTGGCTTGACAATCGCATTGCAAATAAAATTCTTCAAGTAAGTTCGTTCAAATCTTTGTTACCAATCAATAACTGAGTCTTTAGGAAGCCAAACTTCGTTTCAGAAAGTGCCGCTCCCTAAACACGAGATGATAGCCATTAGTAGTGCTATCATCGGTCATGCAAGGGTAACTGCCGCTTTCAGTAATTTCAGAAATGCTGTTGAGCGAGGACAGGTTAGTATCATATTTTCATCTTCTCGCGTGTTTCATTTAATGTCGGATATAGGTTCTCCCAACAAAGGATTTAACGGAGACGTTTCTCTTCGATCTCGTCAAAGACATGAGTATTTACAAAGTGACAGTGACTCGTAGTGGAGCCCTTAATTACATAGTTTCGTTGAACGGAGGAAAAACGCAAGTAGAAATCCGTTTGCTGGGTGATGGAAGTCTACTTGTCACTCATCAGGAACGCAGTTACACGTGCAATTTAGAGGAGACTTCTGATAAATTTAAGGTCAGTTGCAGCACTGTGTTGTTTTGAAGGTCAGACTCTTTCTAATTTGTTGTGATTGCTTTTAGGTGACCATAGGTCGATCAATAGTTGTTTTTGAAAAAGATAATGATCCAAGCGTTCTCAAGTCTCCTTATACTGGAAAGCTACTAGGATACAAGAAACAAAACAAGGTACGCACTTATTCCTGTCAAATCAAGATCATTTTGTCGTATTGTTTTCAGTCACCAGGGAAGGATCCTGAGTCCAAATAGCCATTTGAGATGAGACTTATACTGCTAGGCGTGTATTCAGATGCTGATATCATATGCCCGTTAAAATTGCTGAGCGATTCTATGAATGCAGCTAGGAATATTCTTGAAGTAGCCGTTCAACTCTCTTTCACCTTATAGGTCTCATAGAAAAGGCTGGGCCGTGCGCGAGAATAGAATTCTCAGAGGCTATTGTTCGAAATGTGACGGTCGAAAAACGGAATTCTATCGAACCGCTAGCTTCCATGGCTTTTTTCCTGTTCAGGTTGGCCTGCAGATTGCATCATGTCCAGATTTGGACACTGCGGTGCATTGACAGGAGATATGAATCCTGTTCAAAACACACTCACCCCGAAGTACTTCGTGAGCAACCCGCCGTCATGAGTTAGATCATGCTCAACACAGTTTAAGTATATTTGTTTTCTCTACACTTATGGCCACATATTTTTACTCGGATATCGCTCACCTCGCGCACATCCCTGAGGACCGAGCACAGTCCTACCATGTCTTTTCATTCTGCCGCCCGTACTCCCACCACATTTGGACTTCTGGTCTTACAAGGGACGGTCTTACAAGGGATTTATATATATATATATATATATATATATATATATATATATATATATATATATATATATATATATGTATATATATATACCTACACCCATGTAGCTTACACACAAATACACGTGCACATACGCACACACATGCATCCATATGCACAAATACACATACACATACAAGTATCCACATATGCATATACTTATGCACATACGTATACCCACACCCTTAGCGCGTTATATATAACACCAGTTTGGCTATGCACGCGCTAGCGTGCATAGCCAAACTGGTGTTATATATAACGCCGTGGTCGTCGACATATACTAGCGCAGTATATGTCGACGACCACTTGTATACGATGGAGTCATTCAGCGGAATGTTGGGTTATCAGAATAAGGTAGTCCTCTCTAGTTTTGAACGCTGAACTGCTGAAATCATCACGCTCGACATATTTCGTTTGAACAGAATCATTAGTGGTTGGTCATAGCTCCTTTCGCCTCAGCGCAGGCCTTTTCCACTATAAAACTTGAGCGCCCCTCTTTTAACTACTCCCGACCATTTTCTCCGCATTCTAGAAAGTTTTTGAAGAAATAAACTTTTGGTCCTAGCCCCGCTTTCCTATGCCGGCTCCGCCCACTTCGAGGACTTAACCACACTTGTTTCAAGACATCCAACCACTTTTTTCCCGTGTCTAGAACGTTTCTGAACAGAGTTATGAAGTTTTGATCTAAGCCCCGCACACTTCCCGGTTTTCACCATATTTGTTCCATTACCTCTAACCACTTTCTCGCGCATTCGAGAACCTTTCCGAACGAAGTTACACTCAATTTTGAAAAGTTGCTTCCACCTAAACGCATGCCAAGCACGCATAAGGCCTTGTTCACTCTTTCTTATTTTTTTCCTGGCCTCGACGCCTTCGTTGAACCGAGATGTTCTCTGTGAAAAGTACCGTCAACTGCAACGACGCTCCGCCTACCACCGGTGAGTTTCCTTCAGTTTAATTGTTGACCCATCCCTCACCTCTGCACATTTTTCCCGGCGTCTGGAGTGTCATGAGACCAAATGAGAAGAATTCACCCGTAAACCCGTCCAATTCCGGCCCTCGCCCCGCCTCTTGGGAGCGGAGCTCCGCTAGGCTCACATGTGCTCTGTTTCACTTGCCCTATGCTCAATCCATTCCAAACTGACCCTATTCTCCAGGGTTTCTTTACGTTATATCGAATTTCCGTTCAATTAAAGAAGCAAACAGCAGACATAGTAAGGATAATAATAAGGATATAACATGAAAGATTAACCCAATGGCGACCGCACTTTTATATTGCCTTTACATTATCCTTTATTTTCTCTTATATCTGTTGTTAGAAATGAATGACTCATGGACCGCAATGCTTCAAGGTTCTCTAGAAGGTTGTAAGCTCAGCTGATACATGAAAACCTGAAAAAATCATAGGAACACCTGATAAATAATATAAGTACCCCAGAGAGCCAAAAACGTGCGTCCTGGCATCGGGATGCATGCTCGCCAACGTGTTAAATATATCTCAAAACGCGCGGGCCATGATAGGAGCTTGATCTCTCTCGAAAATCGCTTACTTTCGCCGTTCAATCTTCATTCGTTATTTCAACTTTTATCGCTATATTCTTACTTCGCCTCTTCAACTGTTGTTTAATCTTTTGTTTATTTACCAGTCGGATCACTCGGCTAACGCCAGCTCTCCTCCTTCTTGTGTCAAACACCCTATCCCAAGAAATGTTGAACTAAAGAATTTTTTCCCTTTTCCAAAGTTTATAGATTTAAGTTTTTTCTCGTTGTTTTGCTGAGTTTGAGTTTTTTCGCTGATTAGCCGAGTGAGATTATAAAACTGATACAGAGCTCAAAATCCTTTTTTGACACTATAGAAATCGAGAGCTTCCCTTCTTCTTTGATAAAGTTGTAGTGAGTCTAACTCTCCACTCCTTTTTTGAAACAAATGACAGTTTCCTGTACACGAAATATGACACAGGACCAACAGAGCTGTGCAAATGGTACCCAGTTGAAGTCGGTGCTTACGCCTTTAGTTGGAAGTCTTTTTCTTGAACGCTCTTTTTCTTGAAAATAAATACTCATTGAAAATTTCGTTGCAAATGACATCGATCAAAGAGGATCCTTCATTGAATCACAAACCTTGCTGGGTATCGGCCGTAATCTAATAGTAAAAAATGAACAAAGATCTAATCTGCTCATCTTGCCCTAATGGGCCCCTAACACTACACTTACCTCTCACTGTTGTCTCTCTGCTCTCCTATCCCGTTTTAACGAATGAAACATACGGTCAAAGCTACATCGTAGATACCGGAGACGTTAGGATTTTTATCTGTAGGTATCTTCTCTTAGGTCCCTTATCTTCTCCTATCAGTTAAGATCAGTTCTTGTCACCGAGTACCTACGATCCCGTCATATCCCGCCTCACTTACTGAGCTGCTGTGGTTCCGCTATTAGTACGAAAAGTCTATTCCTGCCAAATTTCAAACGCTCTAGGTCCACGTAAACAGGAGTTACGAATTTGCGGCTCAAAATTTCTATCGCGCACGCCCCGCCCCCTGTGCATGGAATGCGGTCCCTCTATCCACCATAGGTGCTCCCATCCTGTCCCCCCCCCGTATTCCTACCAAGTTTGAACGCTCTAGGTCCACGGGGACAGGAGTTATGAATTTCCGGTCAGACACACCCACCGACACACACTAGCACACACAAACACACAGACACACCAACAGACACACGACAGCGAGTTATATATAGTAGAATTAACATGCGCGAGCATATGCCAAAAAAAAGCGAAATTCAGAGATGACATAAAACCAAGTAGAATGTACAACTTCTCAGAACAACGACAAGTAACTATGGTATTATGGAATTCTGAAGAAAGAGAGAAAAAGAATGAGTCCAATACAAACAAATAATAGATAGCTGATAAGATTTCCCTCAGTCAGGATAACGATTAACAATTCTTTTGAAGCCCGAAAAACAACATGAAAATTAAAAACTTCCGCAAAACGGACTTAGTTTGCTGAAATACAATCTCGAGCCTTTGACCTCTAGTAGAAGACGAGTTCAGAAAAAAAGACGCGCAATTTAAAATCAGCCCGTTAAGTATTTTGTAAACCATGTGAAAATCATTACTCTTTCTTTTACCTTTTAGGGAATTCAAGCTTCAGTATCTTATTTCGAGTCGCCCTACGGAGAATGCTACTATAGGTAAAGCCAAGAGAACGAATAAATGCCTTCCTTGTGGAACCATGCTGAACTCTTTCTAACCTATCCGTTTTCTCGTGTGGCGAGAAAACACAGGGGTAGGAGCAATAGATCAAAAGGACTTGGACACTGAAAAAGCCTGACCTCACCATTGTTGGCGATAAATCGACAATGTTCTTTAGAAAAGATTTTTATAAGTTTTCAAGCCTAAACTGCGTACAGTGTTGGTTTCGTCTAAAGGTTCGCCGCATATGGAGTACGTTATGTGAGGGGTGTTACGACCAAGATGAAGTATTCTTATTTTGCAGCCGGAAGAGGGAATTCCCGACAAGGAAACCATTGAAGTACTGCATCAATAGTAGCCTGTAAGGGGGAATTGGGCTCGTCAAATATCTCTATGTCGTCTGCAAGCATTTTATCCGTCACCAGCAACAACTCCAAGCAGATCATACACATAAATGCTGAACTACAAAAAAGACAGAACACCTGCTTGAGATGCTCCAGAACGAAGATAGAACGTACGCTGAGATAGAAAGGCTGTGATCCAACTGGCGATCCTATAATGGAGACCAACGTGCTCTAATTTTAGGAGCAACACATCATGAAGAACCTTGTTAAATGCTGTTTGGAAGTCCAGATAAATAACATCAATGCTGTGTCCAGCGTAATAATAATCATAATCATAATCATAATGTTGGAATCACTCAATGAATGGACTATCGCTATGGATTCTATGATTATATCATAGAATCCATAGCGATAGTCCATTCATTGAGTGATTCCAACATTTGAGTTTCAGTGGATTTACCTTTTACAAGTAACAGTTTACTGTTGTAAGGATCATAAGAAGGAAACTTCTTCTTCAGCGGAATAACAAGGGCATGTTCCCACCTTTTGGGAACTTTTGCACGAAAAAAATATCAAATTTGAGAGGTATTCGAGATGGGAGGAACTGCATACAGAGACCAGTTTGATAAACTTGAACGGGGTACCATCCGGTGCGGTAGATGAGCAGGTGGGCCATCCAGAAAATAACAAGTAAATTTCATGACGATCAAACCAAACCGGATCAGCCATATTTGGAAAACTCATACCTTCAAGAAAAGATGATTCATCATGGCCACAATCCCGATATACAGCTTGAACAAATCAGAAAGTTCTGCTCTGTCGCAGTCAAAAGTGAGAATAGACCTATCACTGTTTTTGAGGATCCTATGCCTTCTTTTCGCTTAACTCTGTTGTTAACATGTCTGTAAAGGGTTAACTTGTTATCCGAAGACATCTTTTTTTTTGATTGAACAGTTGAAGCTAAAGAGTTTCTTGCTGAAATTATCAGAAATGCGCTTATAATTGATCCAATCCTTTTCTAAATCAGAGCCAGAAGCCTTTCTGAGTTGATACCACTGCCTTAAAGGCATAGTTCACGATAATTTTTGGGTAATTCAGATTATGACATGGTTGACAAGATGGAAAATAGTGCGGTGAATTCGAAGAAACTGTGTGAATAGGTGTTTCCAAAGTGAAATAAGGTTTCGAAAAATCGTTAAAAAGCGGGCTGGACGAGAATGAGAGTAGAAAAACGAAGAAGAATTGGGCGTTTGGACGAGCTATACAATGTGTCTCACTACGTACATGTGGGTCCTGGTGCGAATGGCTGACTACGTTCAGCAAAAACTCATTTACTCGTAAGCATAAATAACAAAAAACTCTAATCCCAGATAAAATAACCCACCTTCTCCAGCCTCTTAGGGTAGAAAATTAAATAAGAAATAAGTTGTCTCAGCAGCAAAAAGGATAAGAGAGAAAAGAGAATGGAAGAGAAACGTCGTCTCATCACTCGGCGATCGGCTAATTGTATGTGGGTCCTAGAACGAATACCGCAATCTGTTTTGCCTCGACTCATCTGACGTGACATCGATCAAGGGGCGGGAAGTTCGGACGAGCCGATAACGGGGTTCCCACTATGCCCCAGCTGTTGAGTTTTGAAACTCGACAGTGTCCTCCCTGTTATCCTTGGGGGTCACTGGGTATTCTTAGGAGGAGAACTTCAAAAACCATCTTGATCGGGAACTGTGCCTTTGAAGAATCAGGAATTTGGTTTGGGGAGACTAGACTATTCTCTTTATAGGAATGAAGAGATCCATGCAGTGCTTTAATGCAAAGTGAAATGCTTCATACATCTCATTTATCGAATGACAGCACTAAAAAACACCTGTCCAATCAACACTATCGAAGTAAGAATATCCCACCAACATCCACATCTCTATATCCCGAGAGTAAGCATACTTATTAGTGCTTCTCGAACACTTCAGTGAATAGTGAATAGAGTTGTGATCACTGGGATTTTAGAGAAAGGCAGCGAGAACTTGTTTAATAATCCCGGCTTTGTTGCAAAACAATAGATCAAGCACATGACGTCCTCTAGTAGATATAGTGACATGTTGGGTGAACCCATGACTACTGAGCATTTGCAAGAAATCACCAATCATTGATGGAGACGAAGATAGAAAATCATGCCACTTTATGTACCAGTAGTTGAACTCGCCCATTAAAAGTTTCTTATACCAGAATGAGCCCGTAACGCCTCCATTAAAAGCGACATTACATGAAACTATCTCATATGCTTTAGACTAGAAATAGAAACCACCTTTTGCTCTGGATCTGTCGCACCTATCTTCCCCATAAAAAAAGAGAGAATATCGCCCCCTCCCCTCCCCCCCCCCTCCCCCACAAAGACTGCAAAATGTGCCTCTTTTTCAACCAAGTCCGTTAACGCAACTACATCACATTCTTTATAGAACATTTCATATAGCAAAGAGTGAACATTTTTGGCACGGACCTTATCTTCGCTAGATTATCTTCGCTATTTAACGGAGTTTGGGTTTCGTCAGAGCAATATCTGGATTTGCAACTACAAGATTTTGGGCACGAGGAGAAACATTGACAGAGTGGTCAACACTAGAAGCAATATAGTTCTGAATAATAGCTGGGTTACGACTGGCTGACTATGAAGCCTAGAAGCTCATGGAGTACGCGATCAAACACGTTCATCTTTGGTTAAAGATGGCCTAATATAAATGCTTTTGATTGGAAAATTTTCAATATAGCTATGGCATCAAAATCAGAAGATAAGCGTACAACAGGACTAGGAACAGCATTCTCAGCAACACCAGATATAACGACAGTATTTTTCATATTCTTTACAACAAACAACATGAGTCTGACTGAGCACTACTAGACAACACAGGGGGACAGACCCATTATTTCTATCTAAGGACTTCTTCAACGATTCAATCTCCATTTTTGAGAAGTTCATTTCCAGTGGTTCCTCTAGATCATGATTGCGTTGCAGTAGGTCATCAGTTCCGGTACTCTTCTGCAGAAGATGAGCAAGTATAATCTTGACGTGGGATGAGAGGCTATCATCGGACAAGAGTATTGACTGCTGTCACAAGTGATCCACATGAATCAGTCGGTGAACCGCGGGCTGTTTTCTTTTATGAGGCCGGTCCTGAATTTGTGAGAAGCCAAGGGGTGTGAGTTGCTAACATTCACAATTTAGACAACCTATGAAGGTGGCAAGGGCTCCTATAGGAAATTTTTCCCTGCCACAAGGAAAGAGGCAACGATGTAGATTAAACTGCGCGTGACGAGAGTCGAAAACGACCATAAATTATTGAACGAATACAGAAATCTTTAAAGAAATGACTTGATTAGGTCGCTTTCTCGGCAGATCTTGACTTCACCGCAGCCACTAGGGTGCTCCCAACTATCCGGAGTCGATGATGTAGAAGACAGAATATAGAGTAGCTCCTCAGCGAGACAGAAGACGTACAAGAGCAAAGCAGGGCGAAAACCGACCGCGCGCGGGAAAGATAAGCGTCGAAAGCGTGTCTTGCTCGCGCGCGGTCGGTTTTAATTATCTACTGGTAGACTAGTGGTACTGCTTCTACACTCGATCTTTTTTACCGGCTTAATCAACTGTGTTTCGTCTATTTTAACTCCGATAAGGGGACTTGTTCCCCACAGAAGTTATCGATCAAAAATCGAATAATTAATGCTAGTTGGAAAACGTTCCTCTCAATTTTAGGCCGTGGATCATTGTTTTGCATTTTAGCAACTGGGTAACTTGCATCTCTTTAGTCATAGGAAAGTCAAAGCCTAAAGGCACAGTTTTTGCCCCGCTTTTCCGCCCCTCGATCGATGTCAAGTCAGATGAGTGTCGAGAAAATACTGTTTGCAACTATTCGTTATAGGACCCACACACAATCAGCTGATCGCCGAGTTATGAGGCGATGTTTTTCTCCCATTCTTTTTTCACTTTGGAAACAGTGATTCGTGCAGTTCCTCCACCTATTTTCGATCTTGTCCTTCATTTTTAATCATAATCTGGACTACCCAAAATTATCGTGAGCTGTTCCTTTAAGAAAAACCTATTGTTGCATCAATGCGAAATTTTTCATACGAACGTTCTTGACAACAGCGTATTTCAAAGAACTCTTTACTCTGAAATATTCCACTCTATATGCGTGATTTAAAAGTTACTGGCAATAAATTACATGCGGAGCAAGGAAAACAACGGTCCGGTTCACAGTTACGATCAGCTGCTGTATTCGTATTCGTAGCACTTAAATCTTCAAAATGAGTCGATATATCGATATTCCCAGTCATCCCTCTTGAGCGTTCAGAAAATCTCGGCCTTGAAAACAAAGGTGCTCAATTGATGCTCAAACGACTTGAATGATTGCTGTAATCTTCTTCTTTTCTTGGGTTTCATTTAATTGCTTAGGTGGAACCTCGATTTATAGAGCTACGAGGGTGTCCGAGAAGCTTCGAGAAAATCTAGCCGGATTTCTCAACAAAAAAATCACTATAGCAACAAACTTAAATCAGTGATCAAGATAGTGGCCCTGAGCCGCAATATCTCCCCATCACGCGCACAGGGCATTAATGCCATTCCTCCAGAATGAAGAGAGGCGTGACGCGATTCATTCATCTACCACCTAC